TACGCACATACATATTTTTGAGTGTTTAAGAATACATTAAATATCACTTTTGGAAGAAAAATTGAATTTTTCCCATGGTAGCCCATGGGCATCGCACCAGACATGACACGTCACTCTATCATCCAAAGTCACTCAAAATCTAATGGTTTCTATTCCTCGGCACCCCCAATTATCATCATGTGAAGTTAGATTTTGAATTACTTTTCTTGTTTGAAAGTTATCGTGTTAACAAATTTTTGCGTACAGGGCACATACTTCCGGACATCAAAAAAACGCCGAAAAATATTCAAAATCTCCATTTGAATGAGTCTTAAACAATTTTAAACAGGGTAACAATTTTAATACAGGGTACTACGCAGTCGCACATACATTCGGACATCGAAAAAACACAAGATTCATGTTCCCTGGCTCCTAAAACACCCAGAAAACATGTTTTTGAGGGTGTTAATTTTTCGACCGATTCCAATACTTTGCCTTACACACTAGGTGTGTGCGGAAAAGTAAAACTCAATTATCAATGACAATTGAATTGAATAGTTTTAAATTGTTTTATTCAATACGATGGAAATCTCTAATTTATAATATTCTCTTACATTAAGCAATGTTTGAATAATTGAAATTCAAAATAAATGGAAATTAAATCATAATTTTAATGTGAATGATGAATGTTGTTTGAATTTAGCTGATTGATTACTACAATATTTTCGTTCGGTTTTCTCGGTGTTTTTGAAGATTATTCGTATTAAGTTTATATGCGTAAAAGCAATCATGATTCATGAAGAGTTGACCTTTTGAAGTGAACAGTATTGAAAAGTAAACGCATTGAGAATGTTTTGAAGATGGATGATAATCTTCACAGGTTGGATCTACTGTGGATGGTGCTCAAATGTGTCTTCAGATTATCTTTCCGTGTAAAACGCTTCATACAAATCTCGCATCGAAACGGTTTTTGACCGTTGTGCTTTCGCATATGCACTTTCAATATAGTTTTATCCACAGCGACAAACTTTTTGCAGATATGACATTCATATCGTCTCGATTTGCATACTCTTTCATGGGTTACTTGGTCGATCTCTTGTGAAAATCCAGTGTAACAGCCACGGCAATGGAACGGGATTTCATCAGTATGCGTCATTTTGTGCCTCTTCACGCTTTGCAGAGTTGTGAATCCTTTGCGGCAAATATCACATTGATATGGTTTCTCACCGGTGTGAGTACGCATGTGACGATTGATGTGGTTTTTATAACTGGAGTATGGACATAGTTGGCACTTGAATCTCATCTTCATTTGCATCTGGTTTTTAGCCGAGTGTCTCAGATCTTTCGATGTGCTTGCTGCAATGGTTTTACGTTTGGTACTATGTACAATATTTGATTCATTGGTTAATGTGACAGTGTCCACACCACCAACGACTGTCGGAATTTCATCGTTAAATTCCATTTCTTCGGCTGTTGTCGCGGTATCAGTTTTTTCTTCAAATATATCTCCATTTTCATGATCACCGTCGTGTAGCTCAGGTGATACGTTACGATCATCGTATTGAATGGTAGATACCGCTTCCGATGTTTTCCACTTAATTTCATTTTTTTCCTGGTCTTCTTCATCGCTTGAGTCGATGACTTCGACTGAACCACTAGTTGCCTCTCGAGTACCGAGAAAGTCATGATTTTTCGAATACATTGAGCTCAGCACCGGAAGTTTATCAATAGCTGACGTATTTCCATAAGTATCAACGTTGACTTGGTTCTTGAACAATGCATTTATTTCGAACTGGTCATATGTCTCCATGATTCTGTGGGCGATGGTTATGATTTAAAGAGTTTAATCAAAAAGATAATCGAATAGAATCCTGAGATGATATACTAACCGATTGGTCGTGACTCGCAGAAAATATTGCCTGAACTCAGCATTGAAAGATACACCCTCGTGTTTTAGTGCCATTTCAATGTTGCTCAGAGAATATTTTGCTTGTAGTTCGAACGCAAGAAGCATTTGACTCATCTCGTTATTCCAGTTCAACATTTTCGGTCTTCTACCTGGAATAGACCGACACAAAATCAAATTGACAGTTTTAATAATAATGAAGAGAGAGGAATGTTTACAAAAAGATCAAATTGATTCGTTGTTGTTCAAATTCTTGTCCAATAATTATGTAGAAAAATAGCAATATTCAACTTGGAACAATTCTTAAATGTTACCTTCTTATGTTACGATTCCGAGATGCCGACACAAAATATTGTTCTTACCTTGCTCACCTTTTGATAAATAATTTCCAACAAAATGAAATGCTCTTGGGCGAATAGAAGAATATTTTAAATGAGTTCACTCCAATAAAGTATTAATTCGATGAAAATATGAGTTTATTTCTTTAGTTTCCAGATTGAAACGTGTTGAGTACGTTGTTATGCAACAAGTCGTATAGATAGAACGACGCCATTGAATGCGAAAACCATTAATTTATTGCGAAAACGCTGTCAAAATGAATTCGCTGTAATGGTGTTCTAGACTCAGCTGAAACAGTTGCGGCAAAAGAGTGGGAAATTTGAATTCTAAGTGCATTAAGTAACCATTGAATGAAAGCTATAAAAATTTAATTTATTATCAACCATTGTTAATGTGTGAATTCAGTCAAATTATTGATTATTTTAAACGAACGTTAATGGTGCGATCTTTCTAATGATCAATTTCATTTACTTTATGACACCATAATGTGTCTGAATAGCATTAATCAATGAGAAAAATGAATGTTATTTTCGATAATTATTAGTTCAGTTTGAAAAAGGTTTGAAATAGTAGATGAGATAAATAGATATTAATAAAAATCATGATTTCAATGTTGACAATGAATGTAAGTTGAATTCAACTGATTTAGTCTCCAATATATTATTGTATCAAAGTATTTTTCTCACTCGTAACTTATGAGCACGTTTTGCTGGATTGATCTAGTTCATTGAATTTGAAATATCATGGAATTAACTTGGGTTTAAATGTTCGAAAAACCCGCAGCACAAATTGAGAATATTTTGAATGTGGATGGGACCTTTTAACAGTTGGTGTGGATGACGTCTAAATGTCTCTTCAGATTGTTTTTCTGTGTAAAGTCCGCCATACAAATCTCGCATCGAAACGGTTTTTCACC